TTAGGATTAAAAGAAGCCTGAGAACATTGCTATGAAGTGACTTGTGTCCCCCCAAAATTCATAGCGATGTTCTCAGGCTTCTTTTAATCCTAAATTATAAATTTATGTTTTGCGGTTATATTGAAGCGCTAATCCCCAATGTAACAGTATTTGGATACAGGGCCTTTAGGAGGTACTTAAGGTTAAATGAGGTCATAAGGGTGGGGCACAAGTGTAATAGGATTAGTGTCCTTATAAACAACTATACCAAAGAGCTCTCTTCCCTCTGCACAAGGGCACACAGAAAGGAATCTAGTGAACACATAGTGAGAAGGCAGTCATCTTACAAGGCAGGAGAGACCTCTCACCAGAAACTAAACTGGACAGCACCTTGATCCTGACTTTCCCAGTACTCCAAAACTGCCAGAAATAAATTTCTGATCTTTAAGCAACCCAGTCTGTGACATTTTGTTATGGTGGCCTGAGTTGATTAATATAAACATGTCCAACAAAACAAGAAGAAAAATTGTTATAGGGAGGAAATACACTATGCAGGGAAAAAAACAGTTCAAAAAACTATCCTTAGAGAAATGAAAACATACAACCACACAAAAACTTGTACATGAATATTCATAGTAACATCATTCATAATAGCTCCAAAGTAAAAACAACCCAAATGTCTATCAAAAAGAACAAATAAAAGAAGTATGTCTATGCAAAGGACTATTATCCTGTAATAAAAAGGAATGAAGTACTAATAAATGATATAACATAGATGAACCATTAAAACATTATGCTAAGTGAAAGAAACCAGTCACAAAAGACCACATTTTGCATGACTCCGTTTATATGAAATGTAGACAATAGGCAAATCTACACAGAGCAGACTATTGATTGTCAAGACTGGATGGGGAAGACAATGGGAAAATTGGAGAGAGATAGCTAAAGGTTACAGGATTTCTTTTTGGTGAAATGAAAATGTTCTGATCAGTGATGATTGCACAACTCTGTAAATATATTAAAAACACTGAATTGTATACTTTAAATAGGTGAATTATATCTCTGTTATATATAATGCTGTTATTAAAAAAATTAAAATTTAGCCAGTAAAAAAAAAAAAAAACCACACACACACAAAAAACTTTTGCTCTACAACCATACCGAGTACTTATGTAAGAGTTAAAAGAAAATACAGTTGAGCTATATTTGTCTGACATAGAAAGAGACCCAAGACTTATTGTTAAGTGCAAAAAGCAAGAGAATATATAAAATTCTCTCTATATATACATACAAGTGTGTATACACACACACACAAACATAAATGCAGAGCGAAAGTTTTGGAAAAGATGACCAGAAAAAATTATAAATAGTGATGTAAGAAAAATTGCCTACATATTTCCAAAACTTTATAAATAGTACATAATAAAATAAAGGCAGATAGAAACTCCAGGAAAAACAAAAAGTGGTAAGAAAGAAAATGTAACTGAATGATCACTGCTTTGGCAATAGTCAACATTTACACAGTTAACTAAAACACACACAAACAAAAAAACAGTAAAAAAATCCAATTAGAAATTAGGCAAAAGACAAAAAGATATTTTGTTGAAGATATATAAATAGGAAATAAGCACTTGAAAAAATATACGATGTTCAACCTCAGTATCCATTGGGGAAATGCAAATTGAGACCATTATGAGATGTCATAGTGCAACTATTAAAACAACTAAAATAAAAAATATTGACAATACGAGATATTGCCAAGAATGTGCAAAAACTGAATCTGTCATACACTAGTGACGAGGATGTAAAATGGTACAGTCACTCTGGAAAATAGTTTCTAAAAAACTAAATATGGGGTGCTTGGGTGGCTCAGTCAGTTAAGTGTCCAACTTTGGCTCAGGTCATGATCTCACGGTTCATGGGTTCGAGCCCCGTGTCGGGCTCTGTGCTGACAGTTAGCTCAGAGCCTGGAGCCCGTTTCGGATTCTGTTGTCTCCCTCTCTCTCTGACCCTCCCCTGCTCATGCTGCCTCTCTCTCTCTCAGAAATAAATAAAACATTAAAAAAATTTTTTTTAAATAATAAAAAACTAAATATATGCTCACATGCAACCCAGCAACTACACTCTCAGGCCTGTATCGCAGAGAAATGAAAATTAACATCCATACAAACAGCTATACCCAAAAGTTCGTATCTTTATTTATAATAGCCTCAAAATGAAAACAACCAAAATATCCTACAATAATTGAATGGTTTAACAAACTGTTACATATCCATGCCCCAGAATACTAATCAGCAATAAAAAGGAACAAACTATTGCTATAAGCAACAACTTGGATGTGTCTTAAGGACATTACTCCGAGTGAAAAAAGCCAATCTCAAAAGGTCACATGTCGTATGATTCCATTTATGTAACATTTTCAAATAACAAAATTACAGAAATGGAGAACACATTAGTGATTGCCAGCAGGTAGGATGATGAGGGGGAAGAGAGTGGATGGGACTAGGAAGGGATAGTATGAGGGAGATACTTGCGGTGATAGAATAGTTCTGTATTTTAATTACAAATATAAACCCATGCAAATCTTGATTATATTAAATCTATACAAGTGAAAAAATAGCCTAGCTTAGAACTATACACATATTATATAAATGTCAATTTTATGGCTTTGATACTATACTTACATAAAATATAATCAGTGGGAGAAACTGGGTAAAAATACATGGGACTGTACTGTTTTTGCAACTTCCTATGAATCTATAGTTATCTCAAAATAAAAAGGTTTTACAGATTTATGTATTTATTTATTTATTTTAAATATTCTATTTATTTCTGAGACAGACGGACAGACAGCATGAGCAGGGGAGCGTCAGAGAGAGGGGGAGACACAGAATCCGAAACAGGTTAGAAGACCACAATGCAATGTTTTCAAAACGCTGATGGTCTCCAACCAAGAATTCTATACTCAACAAATCTTGCAGGCAAATAAATGTGAAGGTAGAATAACAACATTTTCAGACATGCCTAACATTTTAGACTAAATAAAAAATATTTGTTCCTCATGCACTTTTTTTCAAGAAACTACTGGAAATCGTGCTCCACTAAAACAAGGAAGTTGAACATCTGCTAGCACACAAATGTATGACCGCACCGGGCATCCCTGCTTCTCTCCCTCTGATCTCATTAATGGCATCAGCACTGATGAGTAGCCCAAGCTAGGAAACCAAGTCATCCAGTCCACTCTCATCTACCAAAGCTAATCATGAAGACTTAATGACTTAATTCTCTAAATAATTCTCATTTCTGTCCCTAGTTCGATGACCTTAAGTCTGTATCACAAATACCACCTAACCAATCTGTGTCTCTCCAGTCCTGCCTGCCTCAAATCCTTTCTCCACAAAGCAGCTATAGCCATCTGCCTAAAAATGCAAATCTGACCACATCATTCAGTTACTTACAACTTCTCAAAAGTTTCTCAAATTTAGGGGTGCTGGGTGGCTCAGTCAGTTAAGCTTCTGACTTCAGCTCAGGTCACGATCTCATGGTTCATGAGTTCAAAGCCCTGCGTCTGGCTCTGTGCTGACAGCTCAGAGCCTGAAGCCTGCTTCAGATTCTGTGTCTCCCTCTCTCTCTCTGCTCCTCCCCCACTTGTGCTCTCTCTCCCTCTCTCAGAAATGAGTAGACATTACAAAAAAATTTTTTTTTAACTTTTTAATGTTTTATTTATTTCTGAGAGAGAGAAAGAGAGAGACAGCGTGAGCAGGGGAGGGTCAGGGAGAGAGGGAGACACAGAATCTGAAACAGGCTCCAGGCTCTGAGCTGTCAGCAGAGAGCGCAACGCCCAGCTGGAACCCACGAACTCTGAAATCATGACCTGAGCCGAAGTCAGACGCTTAACCGACTGGGCCACCCAGGCACCCCTAAAAAAATTTTTTTTTAAAAAGCTTCTCGAATTCAGACTAGCAAGCAAGATAAATATGTGGCAAACTGCCACTCTCCCCACCTACCTCCCTCACCTCCACGGTAGGATTATATTTGATCCCGGCATTCTCCTGCGGAGTCTAAACTTAACCTTACAACTTTCTCAACATAGCCCATAGACATCCACCATGAAATGAAGTTGCAACTCCTGTTCAGTATAAAGGCCAAGTGCTTTAGCAAGGACAGAGGACCCTTCCAGAATTTACTCCTGCTTCCCTAGAGGGAACTGTCCACTCCCCCGTTTCATACCTCCTTATCTCTGCTTATGCAGTTCTCTATTTGAGACGCTTCCTCATGTAGCTCATCACCTTGCCATTTCAGGCCATTTCCAGGACCTTCTCTCACTTCCTTAAGTGAGTCCAGTCTTTCCTCTGTGCTCTATTTACTTGTTCCCAACCCACACTGTACTCAAATTCTAGACTGAACTTATTAAAGGACAAATGCCTTGTCTTATTCTCCGTACTTCTGGCACCTACTGCAATGTAGGAGTCCAATAAACATTTGTTGACTTCAATGAGCACAAGTGCATCCTGGCACTCGGGGTGAAACAGACAAGAAAATAAAAGGTCCTATCGGGAAGAAGGTAAACTAACGTCATATTTTGCTTCCTTTACAAATGGCTTGATCAACTTGTTCCTGGTCTTCCTGTAGCCCCAGAATCAGAAATGATGGCTCCTTTTGATTTTGCTCCTTTAGGGTTCAGAGTTCACTTGTATGTTCGTTATACCGTAGAACTGCCACACCTAGACTGTAAGCCCTTTGAGGGAAGGGACTGTTGTCTTCGTGCACTTCTCTCCTCTGGGTGTCAAATGGCAAGGTACTACGAACGGACGGGAGGGTGGTCTCTCACCACCCGGTCACCGACTTGGCTCGGAATCCCCCAGGCCCGCCCCGCCTCCCTCCGCTCTCCAGACCCCTCCTCACGCCGCCGCTTCCCGCCTTCCGGCCGGCGGAAGTCGCTAGCCGCTCTTCCCTGCCCACGTGGAGCCTTTCCGGTGCTCCCGCCCCCTCCGGCTCTCCGATCGAGACCTGGCCCTCACCTCAGGATTCCCAATGTGCCTCCGGACAGACATATCTGCTCCAACCGACCACGCTGGGATTCTAGCCTCGCCGGTAGCCTCTAACCCTAACTTCCTACCCCCACAACCTCTTTCGGCCGCCTCCTTACAACCTCGACTCCGATTGGCCTCCCTGCCCCGGCTAGCCAATGGACGCTCTGTTTACTCTCTCCTTGCGGGGTCAAGGGGGAAGCGAGACGCCGCTCAATGGTTGCCAGGGGCAACGGCGGGACGCCGGCTGCTGAGGCCTTTTGTGCTCTCGGCTAAGCCCCGCCGGCTGCTGCCTGTGCGCGGGAAGAGGGGCGTGGGGGAGGGGCAGGCTGGCGCCTGCGCGTGAGCGGCAACGCGGAGCCCGCGGTGGGGGGGAGATCAGGAGTTGGTGGAGGGTGTTTTGAGGGGGAAACAAGGAGCTAATGTGCAAGCACATACATGACACGGCACGCTCCCCTCCTAAGGCCATCTTAAGCGAACATCTGGGCTACTTCTACAATAGGTAAAAGACATGAGACAGGGTTGTTCCCGCAGGAATGGGAATCTGGGGTTTATTATTTTCAGGTTAAGTTAATATGCAAATTCTGCAAAAGATCATGCGTAAATACAGTAATTATTGTTGCTTTAAAAGCTTTTTAGCTAGCTAGAGAATGGCAGCCTTAATTGCAAAGCGCACACACCATTCTGTGATTCATCAGTCACTTAACAAATATTTAATAAGCACCTTATGAGAAAAGCTGCAGTAGGTTTTGTGGAGGATGGGAGGATGACTAAGAACCAATCCCGTTGTCATGGAAACCATTGTGACTCCTGCCATCAGCTGCCACCTGTTCTTATTCCAGATCTGAAAATTAAGTCCCAGCACCTTTACAAAACAATCACACACACAGTTTGACTTTGGCTCCGAAATGTCCCACCAAATCCATCAAAATTACTATTTACTTTTACATGGGAGAACAACACAATAACCCTTTGTCCCTTGCTCCAAGTTGGTTTTCCAGGAATGGAGAAGGGTTACTCTGAACTGTTCATGTTCACTGGCCCTCTCTGCTTGTGAATAATAGCATGCAGCTGAGGTCGTTCAGGCTCCGTGCAGATGACCCACTCAGCGACATGGCCTCACGTGCCCTTGTCCTCTCAGACACTTCAGCATCGCACCCTTAGGGACGCACCTTAAATCGTGTAATCACTTCTAGCTGCTTGACCTCCAGGATCTTAAGCTGGCCACAGCTGTCTCTTGCCCATTCATGCCTACTGAGTTCGTCTGAACGTCCCCAGTGTTCTCCAGTCCTTTAACCCCTCTAAAATTCCCAGTTTTTCACCCCTCCACTAGAATAAGGAAGACTTTAGAGGCTGCAAAAAAAAAAAAAAAAAAAAAAAGGGAAGAGGACAGTAGGGAGGAGGATATCTTACTATGCAGAGGCTTCTGGACACATCGCTACTTAGAATGAATGTTTACCGGTGCCGTGTGGAGGCGTGGTAATGATGGAGATTATAGGTAGGATAAAGAGAAGAAAGGGAAGAGAGTGATAATAAGGGACTAAACTAAAAGGTGGTGAGAAAGAGAGGAAAAGAGTTTTAAGGACTTTTGCAGGTCAAACGAACAGCTATTATATACGTGGGAAGTAATGAATGCAAAGAATAGGAAGGCATCAAGGATGGCTATAATTTTTCCAACTTAGGGGACTGAGGAGATGAGTGATAATGCATTAATCAAGTTAAAGAGCAATGGAGGTGAGTAAATCAAAAGAACAGAACAGTCTTTTGGAGTTGGAAGCTCACCTTCCCGTTCTTCATTGTTTGGGCTCACTACTCTGTATGGTCATTTCCCTTTTTTCCCAGAGGGTATGGGAATATAAGGTTTATTTGCCTTAGTACTCATTTTGGTTGTCAAATCTGGGCTGCCGATAAAGCCTGCAGAAAGATTATAGAATGTGTGGTCTTAGGTCCAGCCATCAGAGGTGCCGACTGTGTGTTTAGGGTGAGGGTTTAGGATTTTGTAATTAAAAAAAAACATTTTTGAATGTTTCTTCATTTTTGAGAGAGAGAGAGAGAGAGGTGAGAGAATGAGAGGCAAGGAGGGGCAGAGAGAGGGAGACAGAATCTGAAGCAGGCTCCAGGCTCTAATCTGTCAGCACAGAGCCCAATGTGAGGCTTGAACTCATGAACTGCAATATCATGGCCTGAGCTGAAGTCAGACACTCAGCCAACTAAGCCTCCCAGGCGCCCCTAGGATTTTGCAATTTAAATACCTGTTCTCCCACTCCTACTCTGTGATCCTGATGCAGGGATTCTCTGGACCACACCTTGAGAGGCTCAGCTGTAGAAGAACGTATTTTGCCTCAGTGGAATCCTTAGAAAGCTTAAAACTCTAAACCAAAAAGCAATTAACATTATAAATTTCCTTTTTGGATTCCTTTTGGATACAGAACAAAACTGCATCATAATTAAACAAGGTACTTACTGCTAATATGAAAAATAGGTAAATGTCAAAACAAGATCATAGAAGAAAAGCATTTAATAAACATATGAAGAAATATCCAGCTAATAATGAAACAAATACAAAACCGTGCAGCTAGACCTCATTTTTCAACTAACAAATGGGCAAAAGTTTGTGTTTTCTCTTTTTTCCGACAATAATGCTCAGTGCTGGCTAATGTTTCAAGAAACAAGCTTGCTCATAACGTTGTTAGTGTGACTATAAAGAAGTGTGACCACTTTTTAAAAAATCTTTTTAATGTTTGCTTTTGAGAGACAGAGCTTGAGTGGGGGAGGAGCAGAGAGAGTGGGGGAGGAGCAGAGAGAGAGGGAGACACAGAATCTGCAGGAGGATCCAGGCTTGGAGCTGTCAGCACAAAGCCTGATGTGGGGCTCGAACTCACCACTGTGAGATCATGACCTGAGCCGAAGTCGGACGCTCAACCAACTGAGCCCCCCAGGCACCCTGAAGTGTGACCATTTTGAAGAGTAACTTGAGAGTGGGTATCAAGAAGCCCTCAAATCTTAATATTCTAAGAATTTCTTCCAAGAAAATAGATACTCAAAGATTATACCCACACATGGATATTTCTTCATATGTTTATTAAATGCTTTTCTTCTATGAATTATCTTATTTTAACATTTACCTATTTTTCATATTAGCAGTAATATGTTCACTGGAATCTTATTTAAAATGATGAAAATTGAAACAATTGATCGTCAGTTAAAAAAGGATTAAAATAAGTGGTGGCATGTCCATGAAAAGTAATATTATGGAACCATTAAAAAGTATATTTCAAGGAATTAATAAGCCATTGGACAACTGTTCCTGACATAGTAAAAAAGAAGAGCTAGAAACAGTTTTTTACTTACGATAATCCTGATTGGTGTGGAGAATCATAGAGGTAGCCACAGGAAAAAAAAACTGAAAAAAAAATTTGATGTAAGTCATCTCTGGATTATGGAATGGGGATTTTGAAAATTCTTTATACTTCTGTGTATTTTGCAGATGACTGCAAAAAAAAAAAAAGATGATTTTCTTCAGTGACTATGAATTACTGGCATACTTTAATAAAAGCCTTCTCCTTCTAAGAAACAAAAAGCCTGATTCTGGTTTCAGCCAGAAAATGGTCTATGGCCTTTGTCTGGGCCTACTTAGACCCGAGCCGAATTCTGCGTAATTCTGCTTTCTGAAGTACTGCTGCTCTGCCGTTCTTGGCAGTAAAAGACCTTCCAGGCACTTGAGTAAGATCCTTGCAATCAGAGTCCTGATTGCTAAGAGGTTGAAGCTTTGTTTGTAAGAGAAGTTCTGATTCTTTTCTTTAAAAGTTCCTACTCCCACTGATTAATCTTATTTTTCATGAAGTTAGAAGTGCTCTTGTGAACTCCCATTTGTTTGATGTCTTCTTTTTTAACCCTGTAGGTGTTCCGAAAAGCTTTTAGTCTCTACAGAGTTTGGGGGGAGCCCCAGACACGCTAAGTGTGGCTGAAGAGTAGTTCACGTTTTAGATGCCGCTGTGCTTGATCAAAGCACTCTTCCCCTCAGCCTCCCTTCCTGCGGAACTACATGGCCGTTTAGGCTTTGTCGCCTGATTCTTTCCTGAGCCTAAAACCCTTTGGACCCATCTTCAGCCTGACTCCATGGAGCCTGAATCCAGCCTCATGCCATCCAACTAGCTCTCCATCCCCCACGCCCTCGGCGCTCGGCCTCGTTTGCTGGTCAGAGCCCACTGTGCTCCCCTCAGACGTGTCCCTTGTGACATTGCTTCTCAGATATGGGCCTTAGCTCCCCTCCTTGGCTTCATGTACCTTGATTCCCTAAATATCGGGCTTCTACGTGCTTAAGGAAATAGTTCTGCCCAATCCAGCCCACTCCCGGGCTTCTTTCCCTCCCCTCAAGAAATGTATCTGCAACCCGTGGCAATGAACCCACAGATCCATAGGCCCCGCCCTATGGCAAAGTCCTTGAAGTTCTGGTAACAGTTTAGTGTCACTCTGCCTGGTGGTAGAATGTACCCAGGAGAGTGGCACACCAGCCTCTGAGTTGGAGGGCTGACCCTTGCCCATGTTCAGCTTAGGCCAGAGTTGAAGTGCTTGGCCTGGTCATCCCTGCAGCCCCTGCCCAGGGGAGTCATACCCACCTCCCAGGATTCCTTTGGGACCACCCCTGGCTACGCTGCTTTCTGGTGAAACAAAAGCTTGGCATCCTGTCTCCTTACATAATGGGGTTGGCGTTCCCGCACATGCAGTTCTGTAGCCCCTCCTGAGAGGCTCATAGGCTGCCTAGCTGTGGTAGAAAAGATATATGCTGTCCCTTCCCAGGGAGAGCCAAGACGTCTGTTACCCACTGTGATCCCATCCCAGGGCATTCAGCTGTCACACGCCATGTTCTGCTTCTGTCTTGGGATTTACATAGAATGAGTCCCTGCCAAAGATCCGGGTCCAAGAGGACCCAGAAGAGCCAACCTGCATCTCAGAATGGTCCGCCCCTGGAGGAGGAGCCAGTGCTGCAGGGCACCTGTGTCACCCTGGGCACAAGGGA